GCAGGATTGAATAAAATTGAATATAAGCAGTGTTCTTAGCACAATGCCTGGATGTGCGAATCATTCCAATTTTGGAAATTGTTCTAACAACTATCTTCACATATGTTTGTTGTAACACATTCTACATTATTAAAAAAGTCATCATAGAGAAATAATGCTTTCCATAAGAAGTTGGAAAGTGTGACCTCATTTTAAAAATAACATGTTCTTTACTTTCATTGTGGTAAACATGAATGAGAATAATACACTAAAATAAGCTTTAAAAATAGAAACAAAGGCTTTAAGAACAGAGTACAAATATAGATTTCATGGGTATTGTTAAATTCTAAAGTCAGTTTATCTACATTCCAATTTGACTTTTTCATTTTCATAAGTTTTTTTAGCAGAAACGTATTTTTACTTCCCTGCACTGTAAAACTTTCCTAACATTCTATTCTTGCTTCATTTAAATCTTTGCACATTTTGTTTTTCTTGACAATTGAAAGATATCATAATTTATATTTTAAGTCTATTTTAATACAAGAGATAGAAAACATTCAAGAAAAGGAAACTATTTTTAGTTTTGCAATGAATTAATATAATAGGCTTCCCTTATACAAATAAAATCATATATGGTAAAATTTGAAATGAATCTTTTCAAATGCAACCATTTCAGACTCTGATAATTGATAACACATTTTATTTTATGAAAAGCCACAGTCTCACTCATTTTGGAGTAGTAGCCTTAATGATAGTGTTCATGATTAATGATGGCTCTGCTAAAATGATCTCATGTTTTCAAACCTGTGATGAGTGCACTTGGGCTTCTATATATTGTACTATCCTTAAGAGACACTTTTTTTTTTTTTTTGGTATTAATGGATAGCTGTCCTCCAAATGTTTACCATGGCTTTCAGAATAAAAGATAATTCCCTACTACCAACCAACAGAAGAGCTGATACACCCCCTCTATATATTACATTACTCAATAGAACAGCTGCCAGACAAGGATAAATTTGTTCACCCTCTCCACATCACTCCCTTGCATCTAGGTTAGATTACAGTGATAGTCCACCAGTGGAATGCCACCTAAAGTGTGTGACTCCTGGCCATTGGTGGTTAGGCCAGAATTTGGTTTTATTAAAGATGAGGAGGACTTCAAGATCTTAAGATAAGATTGGAGCTTCTAAAGTTCAGAAAAATTATTTCTTGAGCCCTCCCTCCAAAAATCAAGGCATAATTATTAAAGTAACAGATCTATTAAGATACATCAGTAAAATATAAAAATAAGCTGTGCCAAAGATCAATTCAAAAGATGCTCCACTTCTTCCAAGTATTTGTTCAGATGACTTTAAATAGCTGACATTAAGTTGAGAGATAAAGGTGTGAGAGGAATGCTGGCAATGCTGGTTCAAACCTGTAATCCTTATTAGTTGGTAGGTAAAGATATGGAAGATCATGGTTGGAGGCAAGCTGAGTAAAATATTTTCAAGACCTCATTTCTACCAGTGTCTGAGCATGGTGGTATGAGCCTGTTATCTTGGCTGTGTGGGAAGCACAAGTAGGAGGATCATAATCCACATGGCCAGGGCACAAAGGGAGACCCTCTCTTAGAAATGGCCAATGCAAAAAGGGCTGGTGAGTTTCTCAAGTAGTAGAGTGACTTCCAAGCAAGCTCCAGGCCCTGAATTTTCTAAGTCACACACACATACACACACACACACACACACACACACACACACACACACAGAAAGGAGAAACAAAAGGAAAAGAAAAATAAATAAAGACACATGAAAATTATGTCACAGGGAAAAATATTTTGTATTGTTACTAACACAGATGAGATTAGATGCAAAGACCCTAAATTTTAATTTAAATTTTATTTATGGGAAAGCTGCCATGCTGGATCAAAAAAGCCTATAATTATTAAATGCCTTTTGGCCTCTTGGGTTCTAAAAGTTATACCAGCATGAAACATATGTGAAATCTTTTCCTTCCCCAAGGAACACATATTACCCACAGTCTAATTTTTTTAAACACTTTAAAGTTGTGTTTTATTTTTTTCAATTTATATTAAAGTATGTTAAACTGATACACAGAAACATAAAAATTATACATTCTTATGAGGTACAATGAAATTTTTCTTTGATACATGTATACATTGTGTAATGCTTAAATCAGGTTAAATATATCTATCTCCTTAAACATTTATCATTTCTTTGTGGAGGAAACCTCTCTTTCCATTTTTTGAAATATACAGTATATAATTATTACTTATAGTCATCCTACTGTGCAGTAGCTTAACACAGTGTCTTGATCCTATCTAACTGTAACTTAGAAGCCCCTGACTAATCTTTCCACATCATTTCCCCAACCATCATCAACAAGGCTACTGTTAAACAACATTCTACTCTCTAGTTCTATGAGTTTAACTTTTTTAGATTACATGTATGAGTGAGATCATTTAGTACTTGTGTTTCAGTGCATGACTTATTTCACTTAATGGTAATATGGGAATTCAAACAAAGGCCAAAGATAATGATGGTTAACAAGGATGTGGAGAAAAGGAATGCCCTACAAATGGCTGATGGTAATGTAAGTTAGTCTAGCAATCATGGAAAATGATATAGAATTCTTCAAAACATTAAAAAATAGAACTAATATGATCTAGTGATCTCACTACTGGATATACCCAATGGCAATGAAATCATATCTGATGAAAGACTTGCAGTATTATGTTTATTGTAGCATTATGCAAAACAGTCAAGAAATGAAAACAACCTAAATCAGTCCATTGGCTGATAAATGCATAAAGAAGATATTGAGAAAAGACACAATGGAACATGATTTTAAGAGTCTAACCAAGGATGGAGTTGTAGGATGGAAAGATCTTAAAATCCTAAATGATAACATGGGAAAACCTTGTCTCCTCAATCCTGCTGAACACCAACATTAGATTACTGAGTGAGCTTGACCTCATCTGTTCATTTTAATGAGCAAATATTTTATCACAGTTAAACTTGGTGATTTATTTGTTATATCAGTAAGACTTTTACAAACTAATATAGTCTGTTAGAGTTTTAACCTTCCTAAGCAACCAGTATATTTTGATCATGAATACCCTTGATTATCTGCCTCAAAAGTATTCCTCTAGCTTCTGTCTCACTACTTCTCCACAAATAGCTATTCATTTCTCATTTTTACATTATTTTGACTTCTGCTGTGCCATGGACATTGAGATGAACAAATAAGAGTTCCCATCATTAAGGAACTCATAGCATATTAAGTGGGAGAACACATAAACAGATTAATCTAATAAAAGTGGCAATTACAATGAAATAAACACTTCCATGGTTGCCATAAAAATGCCTGTAATTAATGGAAAGATAGCAATGGACATAACAAAGTCATTTAGGATAAGTAGTGGGTATGGCTTAGTGGTAAAAGGTCACCTATGCTGAGCTAAGTCTCAGTCAGAGAGATGACTTACTTGGCTCTTTATTCCCAATTAAGCTATTCAGCTACAACAGACACTGCTAAATACAATAGAGAGTCCTTGCAGATCATGCAAATAATTTTTTATGAACATTATCAGGCCTCTCTCAACTTCTCTACAAACTCTGGAAACTTGGCTCCTACTCACCAGATAACATCCTCAAATAATTGTGTTTACTTAGTGAGAAACAATACAAATCAGAAGTCAAATTTCTAAAAATACTCTTTGATCCCACCTGTATGTGACTTTAGGCATTATTCAGGTTTATCCTGTAGTGTTCAATGATTCATTCAGTCAATATGTATTGGGCTCTTATATTGACAGGTTTACTTTTATATATTGTGATATAAAGATGTAAAAAGTAGGCCAACTCTGCCCAGCAAGAAGCATACTTTAGTGTAATTGTTCTCAGGGACTAGGGTTAGGAGAGGAAAAGTACCCAAACCCAGCACAGAACAGACATACTGGAAACAAACACTACTCACGATCTTCCTTCTTCAATCTAAAATATTTCCCAAATTCTACAGAGTGGCCAACGTCTTCATGGTATGAGAATTCCTGCCATCAAGAGAAAATGGAAGATGAATGTCATATTCAATAAGTGTGCAGGAGCACAACAAAATGTTATAAATCAAAAACAGTACTCACTCTTCTAACATATTCATAAACATATAAGGGATTTTATGTGGCACAGAAGAATTGTCACTTGTCTTGGCTTGAGAAAGGGTAGACATGATTTACAAAGGAGGAAATGCTTGATTTGGATTCTAAAGTGAGAATTTTTTAATGGCAGATTAGGTGCTACTCAACCTAGAACATTAATCATAAGAGTTAAAATTGAAAATATGAGTTCAGAGATGAAGAAATGGGCAAGTGACCTGAACAAAAATTTTTCAAAGGAGGAAGTCCAAATGGCTAAAAAACATATGAAATACTCAACATTCCTGACCATAAAGGAATACAAATAAAAAACACATTAAGATTCCACCTCATTCCTATTAGAATGGCTACCATCAAGAACGCAAGCAAGAGAACACAGAGGGCAGAGCCTCCAGGGTGGAGCCTGAGGAGAGGGCCTCAGGTTAAAAATTGCACAGTGGATGGAGGATAAACCATAATGAGCAGAGCATGCTCCCAGCTTGGGTCTGTGCTGCAGAGGAGCTCATTCCTGTCTGTGGTCACCACCAGGTGTCTGCATGCAACCGGGTCCCAACCTTTGGTGGACCTGGGTTTGAGGGCAGGAGGTTCACCTCTCACCTTCGAACCTGTACTGCTGGACTTTCTGGTGTGCACACTCTCCAAGAACCCTCTCATATATGAAACACTAACAAATGAATTGATTAATGAAAAGATGGGAATAAACTATCTTATCATCAGTGGGATTCCTAATATGATAACACATGAAAATAAGAAGCAAGAAGAAGTGGAGCACTAGAAAGTATTTTTAAAAAAATATAACAACTAACTTTCCTTAATACTATCTACCTTTTCAAGCAGAGTAGTGAGTAATAAGTGGTTGAGAAGAATGTTTTTGTCTCTGCCAACCATGACAGTTCTTATTCTACTAATCTCCTTAGCAGGACTGTTCAACTCTGCATCCATGGAAGAAAACTTCCCACAGGGCTGCACCAGCACAGCCAGTCTTTGTTTTTATAGTCTGCTCTTGTCAATTATCATCCCAGTGTATGTGTTCACCCACCTTTGGACTTTGATGGGCATTAAACTCTTTAGGCATAGCTAGTGCAGCCACAGTCAAGATGATGAAGGTATTAATGATGGATCTTAGGTTTCTAGCTCTGAAAACTCAGCTAGTTAGAAATACTGCAGACTCATTTGGTTTGACTATGGGAAGCTTAAGCTGCAGAAGCTTCCTTAATTGTACTTTTCCTCTGTTCTCATTTTTTGGAAAATTCTGACATTACTGTTATTAGAAGAAATGGTTCAACAAAATGTCCTAGTGGAGATTAACATTCTTAATCTTCATCTAAAAGCTATTTCTTAACCCAGTCACATAAAAGTTACTTTGCATTTTGTTTGTTTAGCTCCATGGTCAGTAGTAAAGCTTCATGTTAGACTGATTCAAATAATGCTAAAAGAGCTACATTAGAGTAGCAATAGAGAAATACATTAGAACTAGTATGAGATAAACTGTAAATTAGAAATTAGAAATTTCATATACTTACAAAAATTGTGAGTTTTTAAAATTAACTTTATTTCTTTTGGCATCAAATATTTACATTAATAAAATTTAAGATGGTGACAGTTTCCCATTTAAAAACAAGAACATAAACAATAAATATTGGCAAGGATGAGAGGAAAAAGGAACACTCATACACTGTTTGTTGGAATGTATATTAGAACAACCAATATTGAAAATAGTATGAAGTCTCCTCAAAAAACTAAAAATATACCACCATATGATCCAAGAATATCACTTGTGGGCATATAGCTGAAGGAATGTAAGTCAGGATATAACAAAGACACCAGCATGCCCATATTTGTTCCAACATTAGTCACAATAGTCAAGTTAGAGAAACAGCCTAGATGCTCTACAACTGATGAATGGATTAAGAAAATGTGGTACATGTATACAGTGGAATATTATTTAGTCATAAAGAAGAATGAAATTTTGTCATCCACAGGGAAATAAATGGAAGTGGAGAACAACATATTAAGTGAAGCTTAGTTAAGTTCAGGAAGACAAAGTTTGCATGTTCCTCTTATATGTGGAAGATATATCCAAATAAAAATACAAGCATTACCATATACATATACATATATATATGTATATATAACATAATATAAAAGTGGGACTATTAGAGGAGACTAGTGAAGAAGGGAAAGAAAAAAGAGAATGATCGGGAGTGAATAATATTGAATTGCATCGCAGATGTGCAGGGATAAGACACAAAGAAATGCATTTAGAACTGTTGAACAATACAGGGTAGGAGGAAAAGGGTAAGGAAGCGTAATGGAGGGGGTTTGATTGCTTAAAGTACAATATATTTACATGTAAGTTATAGAGGCAAAAATCCACTAAACAATGAACAGACACTAAAACAATGAAGGACAGGAATGTAAAACAATTCATGTTAATGGGAGGGTATGAGTGAGAGGAGAAGGTAAATGAAGAGGGTAAAGGAGGGTGAATATGGTAGAGGTACTTACTATACATTTGTGAATATAGAACATTGAAATCTGTTGAAGCCACTTTAAGAAGGAGTGACTGGAAGAGGTAGAATAAGGCAGGGGATGAATCAAACCAAGGTACATAGTAGGCATATATGGAAATGTCACAACCAAATTCTGTAGAACTATTATATGCTAATAAATAACATTGTAAAAAAGAAAATGTGAGGTCAGAGGACATATGGAGGATTGGTGGTTTAAAGAGCTGGTATTTGATGAGATTCAGGGTTTGGTTAATATAATACATTTTAGATGGATTGTGTGGATCAGTCTATGTAGATATAGAGTTTAAAAATGATGAATTAAGACTGGAACTGGGAAGCCCAGCAAGGGGGCTTTGTGAGCAATCCTAAAAATAGTCAATCCTTGAAATAAGACAGTGCAGTGTGGGCAGAAATTAAGATGAATTATGCATGTGCTACTTAGAAAGATGGCTAGATTTAGCTACTGCATATCTGATAAATTAAGGAAGAAAAAGAATCAAGAATCCTCAAAGAATTTTTGCTGCAGTTTCAGATTTAAAATGGATTATATCATCAGATATCACCAAAAAGGAATAAACAGTCAAGACATCTGAGCCTGAGGTCTTCATGCTACTACTTTCTAAACAATGCAATCACATGTGGTACAAGAAACAGAGAAGAAAATGAGGTCTGTGTGGAGAATTTGTATGATGATATGTCATATAATGTGTAATCAAGCCTGGAATCTATTAGATGGCATAGATTGGACTGATGATTCAGTCTCACTGGATTCCTATTAGTGGCCATAAAAATGACTGCCTTCTATGATAGTCATTTATATGGACGAGGTTGACAAATTTGCCCAGGAGCAGATAAGTCTACTCCAGAAACCAGTGAGACTATAGCAGTCTTAAGAGGCACTTGTGAGTTTCTGATGTTGATAGTAAAAAAATTTCTATTGTGAATATGTAATATTTGAATTCCTGTGGGAATAAGCACTCAGGTGGATATGTCCAGGAGAAAAATTTGTATTGAGAAGTATGTTGCTTAGTGTAATGGCATAAATTAAAAATACAAGTTCAGAAGTATTACATATAAAAGTAACGCATAGAAACATGAAAATGCATAGACACCCAAAGATATTATTCAGGATGAGAAAAGCAATAGACCAAACATAAAAACCTGAGCACAATTTAATTCACTTTACAGTTGTCAGTCCAAGAAGCACATGAAGGAGATGGGTCTTTCTGAAGGTCCCCTATTGTCTGTACAAATCTTAAAACAGGGTTTCATACTATTGATAGAGTAGCATCCTTGACCAGTGTTTTATTTACCTATACTGTTTTATAAGTCATCAATACTTTTGAGGGATACATCAATTCACTCATTAATCCAATTATTTAGAAATTTGTATTAGGGAGAGAGGATCTAAGATAGTTGACAGAATAGGGAATCAAAATTTCTGAGCTCAGTGATTTAGGAACCACTTTGAGAGATGGGAGTTACATTTGGGAAATTCTGATTCTTTCTAGCCAACTTAATAACTGCCAACACAGAGGGTACACATAAAATGCAAAGAATGACCCTTTTAATTGCACCTAATAGTCAGTGAAATCCTGGTGTAGCACAAGTACCAGGGTGTGTCTGCCCTGGGAAGAAGCCTCCTAGCCATTTCTTTCTTTCTTTTCCTTTTCTTTTTTTATAAAACAGAAGATAGTGGATCAAACACAACCAAACCCTATAACATAAACCATGGAAAGCCTACTTATGCCCTGCCGGGCTGAACCCAGTCCTAGTAAGCATCTGCTTTCAGAAAAACTACCCACCATCTCTACCAACTGGCCAGTTTCAAAGCTGCCTGTATAAATCTGTAAACCCAACAGGTGAGCTCCACACATGACATGCTACTGCCCATTCCCCTCAACATAATCCAGAGCAGCTCATGAGCAGACTGAATGCCCCTCAAATGGAATGAAAAACATAGACAGTGTATTGTAATCTAGCACTGAAAGTTGGAGTGGGGTGGAATGCTGAACCAACCTCAGAGAACAGGGGTGGGGCAAGGATCTAAACGCTCAGCAAATGGAAGCAGGTTCAGGAACAAAGGCTGAGAGTAGTGTGGGGAGACAAGCCAACCTCTAAGAGCAAGGTTATGGCAGATCACTGTGGGACTGAGGGCAGTGTACAAAACTGAATTTATGGGGGCGCTGCTGACCAGTCAGAGCTTCATCTGCAGAATGGCACAGCTGCTGCCTGGCAAAAACAATAGATCAGACCAGCTTGTACAAATTGGTAGTGAGCTCCCAGAAGGCCCAACTGTAACCTGACCTGTGGACAGAAGGAACCAAATACTGCTTACAAGCCAGCCATCTGCTGAGACCACTTTAGAGCTCCCACTTATGACATCCGGCCCATAAGACCAAGGAAAGTGGGGGAAAAAACCCTCCAACTAAATATCCCCAAGCCATCTGATAAGAGGGGTATCACTCTTCTCTTTATAGCTCAGAATACCAACCTTGAAAAGAGACAGGGGAACTGAATAACACCCAGTAATTAGTGCAAATACCAAGATTGGACACCAAAGAAATAAGTAAAAAACTTTTGCCAAACTGATTGTACTTTTTGTTGTTGTTGTAGTTGGGTATTTCTTTTTCTTCTTAGTTTTTCACTTTTTTAATTTAGTATTTTTAATTTTACTATTTCCATTTTCTTTTCTAACCCCCTTCACTTTCTTTCCTTTTCTCATGCAAAAATCCATTGCTCTGTCCCTCAACTATTCTTTCTGCCCTTTTCATCTGTTCTTTGCCCCTGACTTCACCTCCCCCTCCACACCATCCCTAGCTGTCACCACATTATCCCACACTCCTCAACATTCACCAGCCACTGATTAGTCTACTGTACCAATCATACACACCTACAGACCTCTGCAATCCCTGACACAAGCACCCTCCAATACAACAGCTGAACTACATCCTAATACACACAAGGGCCCCAAAACCCTATAGCCCTCAAAACTATTCCCCTGCTCATCCCACTCCCTCTTTCTTCCTCCCTTATAGCTCCACCTGTTCACATTACCCAAGTTTCTATCTCTAGCCAAACAACCATTACCTCCCCAACTCTCACTGTTTATAGGTATTATCCTTAAGTGGTTCTCTAAATAATATGTAAGCAACTGGTCTAGCATGGAACCTGTGAATTTGTTATTGCTAACTTACACTTCCAGGCCAGGGACAGAAATAGCACATCACTCTAGCTAACTACTAAGCCAGTCACAACACAACAAACAAATCAAGGGAAAGAAAACAGGTGATTGAAACTGCCAACTAACCAATCAACAACACAGGAGCACAGCACCAATTAGAAGCATGGGAGAAGAAGAAGGTAAGGAAACCAGACTCCTCAATAGAAAAACAATTCAATAGAAGATTTAGTGGGAAATGAAGAAAATAAATACCCAGTTCCTGAACCTAACAGAACAATGCTAAATACCACCAATGAGCTCAGTGGCATCCACAAAAATCTCTCAAAGAGGAAATCATGTTCGAGATCATTGAGAACCTCATGGACAAGCAAAAGACATGTTTAA